CGTACATAATCTCGTTCCACCACATGTACCACATGAGATGCGAATGACAAATAATAATAAATAACTACTGTACTACAGGTGTAGTGTTTGTTGTTACTCACTGTTGTCATCACTCTTTGTTAAGAAATCAGGTCTCTCTTGAAAATGAATCCCCGAGGCTCGATGGGATTAACCTGTATAAATAAAGACTGAATGAAAATAAATCTCTCTGACTCTGACCCAAGTACAGTGAGATTATGTCCATACGGTCGTCCAAAAGATGGGCGGAGTGCACGTTGCTGTTGCTCCTGAGAGCGTGGCCCTTATTCTTTACAAAGTAGATAGAAATGAGGAAAGGATAGTGGTATTAAAAAAATATATTTTCACACCGTGTCCTGATAAGGACACGATTTAAGACATCAAAAACCTCTACCAGCAGCACATTTATAGACAAATTACATATAAATTTGACAACAAGACTGTGAGATTTGTCCATGAAGCACATCCAGATAGCACCATAGTCCTGATAAGATGTTGGTGTCAGCTGGTACAGCTCTGATAAGCGTTCACAGAAGTTCTCAGGGGTACTGAGGGTTACGCGGGGGATGGATAGAGCAGAGCCTTCTTAGTTTACACATATCCCAGGAGAAATTTGATAAGTCGGCCTGCTTCAAGGCCTAATAGGGGAGTCAGATTCAAATAAGCCACAGTTATTAATTTTTTCAGGCAGACTGTTGTTTCCCGTTAGTCTTGAGTTCTGATGATCCAAGATGGCCAGATTTGTGGGCATGCCACTTGTCCGTGCTTATTAGCTCCCATCAAGGTCATCCCCAACATGGTGGCGAGTCCCAAAGCCACAAGTGGCCTATGATTCTCATAAATCGCTTCCATCTTACAGTTGAGCTTGTAATCAGCTGAGTCTAAGAGCTCGAAGCACGAACCAAACCTTTTGCTGCCGACTTCTTTAATAGCTGATAACATAGGTAACCGGTGGTGCCAAAAAGCAGAGACCCTGCTTTCATAAATCCAGTGATGTAAACATCTTCAGCATCCTCCTGAGACAATACGGAAAGGCACATCAACTTATCCATAACGTACCCTGCCGCATGAATCTCAGCGGGGCATGAGGGTTCTCCAGGACCCTGTAGCTTGGTTGAAACTTTTTTTAACAATTGCATTTAAAGTCCAACAGACCAGATCCATGTCAGTAATTTACGATT